CATTGTTTGAGTTAGCACGAGAATGATTTAGAAACATTTCTCGTTTGAATTTGACTTTAAATCAAGTGACTATGAACACTGAGTTTTTTGGCTCTGTTTCAGTTATATGGCTTTCTTGTTAAACCTGTTAGTTCAATTTTTAGTGTGGGGGAATAATGTGAATCACGTATATGACGTGATGAATCATGGGATTCATGGGTAATAAATTATGATTGAGTTAAACCACCGAACAAGAATGTTGTGTCTCAATACATAAGAGCTACAATTACGAGTTTAATTACGGGAAAATCCTCCATAAACTTAACAATTTGTTAGCGAGTGGATGATAAAGTATACAGACGTTATTCAGATTAAAGGGAAAGCTTTGACCGAAATATTTCTAATTTGTAAATGCAACTGAAAAGGCTTCCAAGCAAACTTTGAAACATTTTTTGACAAGTAACTGTCACCATGTGACACCTGTCAATTGAAGAAGAAAAAAGCGTACGCTTTTGACTAAACAACAGTACTGTATGACAAACACACACGAGTGAAATGACATTGCGACGATCTTCTCGTAAAAAAAAAAACAAACACTCAGATCTTACGGAAAGTATTGTTTATTTCCAACGACGATTAATCTTCGAAGATTTACCTCTGTTCCGTTTTAAAATGTCACGGAAAGTCAAATTGTAAGTGAATGCAAATGTGTGTTTTGAGTTGTTAGTCTACTTGTTCGTTTTCTGCAATGGTGTGCGTATGTGTGTCTTTCTTCGACTAAAAAGCTGAAGTCAGTGAGACTCTTTCCAGCTAGACACAAGTGGATTTCATGCAACTTTTATTCATCGAATTCCTCCGGTTTCTGATGGGAAATTTACGGTAGAAATGTCCAAGCTCAAGGGATTTGCAAAGAATAGGTGAAAGCGTATCTATAGAAGAACTCAAAACTTCGCTCACGCTTTCACCAACGAACAAATTGTGTTGAAGAATTCAGATATTAACGAATGAGTCACATTGATTAACGTAATTGTTAACTGCAACTACCTCCCGTTGTAACTTTCTGAGTTACTTTTTGCGAAGGATTATTAAATAAAAAATTGCTTTTGGGCCGCGTTTCAATCGTTTTTAAAACAAATTTATTACTATCAAATTTATTTCGAAATCAATTTTTGCAGAAAAACCAAAGTGATTTGAGAGCGTGAGAGAAGAAAGAATTAATATTATTTATCGCCAAAAGGTCGTGACCGAAGTCTTTACTCAAAAATTCTGCCCAGCCGGCAAAATGAGGTCTATTTGTAAAAAACTGCAACGAAGCTTGAGATGTTCTGCAAAACGACTTGAGCGAAACGGATACCGCCCGCTGTGAGCGGGCCGGATGGGGAGAATACTGCCCGCTCTCGGAACCAATCAGATTGCAGGATTTGTAGAATACCGCCCGCTCACGAACTGAGAAAAAAATATCACTGGTTTATTAGTATTTTCAAACTATATCGTGCTACTCTCATTAAATTTAGGCCTTACTAACTTACTTATTTACTTACTTACCGATTGAATTTCCTCATTGAACTGAATAATAAAAATCGACAAGCGCCGAATTAACAGAGCAGTCAAACATTCATAACCAGAAATCTAATTTACGAATGCGCGATGCCGAAAAAAATGATCTTGGTACATTTACGGTAACAAAATAATATTTTCGCGTTTTTGTAAAGTTAAATTCGAATAAGTACACGAGCACTTCCAAGTGAAGATGGCATGACTGATTTCGAAACGAATTATTTTCACTTATCAATTTTTATTTCGTTTGATTTTGCTGTGCTATTAACAAGCTTAAGTTTAGAGGAGGAGCCTGTTTAGCCCTACGCCCTGTACATGATAAGTTGGACAGAACAATCGGCGAATTGTTTTTGGGAAGGGAAAACCAAGGCACACAGACAGAATGGTTAGTAGACAAGCTTATCGTTGCTTTAATGACCGCAAGCAGTAGATCCTGATTTCCTCTTCCCGCAGCACAACGCCCATATAAGAATTAGCGGGTTTCAGACAAGACAAACAAACTAATTCAATTTTCTCACCTGAAATAACAAAACCAACGGGGAAATTTGATTGAATATGGCCTTAATCAGACAAAAACAAGAAAAGATCATTACACACACACACACACAAAAAAAACAATGAAAGGGAAATAGTTCAAATCTACTTTTCATGTTCGAATGATTGTACACGCTCTCCTCAGAAAGATGGTGACTCTTCAATAGAGGAATGTATGCCATGACGGTAATAAGGCAAACATGGTCATGCGGGTAATAAAAGTATCAGTTTTTTAAACAAACTCTCTGGCTGAATAAGCAGCCATGTATATACAATACCGATGACCTCGTGCGAATGGGAGCATCGCAACAGAGAGGATATTGACAAATACCCTCACGCAGACCTACACAGGTCACAGATGGGCATTTCCTTGTAGTCATGATGTACTAAACACTTTCATGACTCACGTCCAAATTTTAATGCGAAGCGAACGTTTTTTCAGTATAAAATAGCAGAGGTGTTCTTCTTCACTCAGTTTTGATATGACTGAGACTTTTGCGAAGATTTTACTGGTAATTTGAATTTTATCAAGAAGTCAAAGTGATCTGAACGATTTCTTTGTCCGGAATGACCGACTTAGACCGTTGGAAGTAAATGCGATTCTTGCACTCCGTCGAGGATTCATATTCACACGGTGTAAATCTCATGGGTTGGACAAAAGCTCAGAAATGAGACATTCCAAAAGGTTTTCTTCATTGGATAACAGTTTCAATCCGATGGATACAGAACAATATGTCTCACCGGGATCGTTCCTTAATTAAGTGCCAGGCCTTCATCTTATAATTTACAATTTAACGTCTACCAAGCAGAACCCCAGATCCGTTCACCCGGAAAGTTCAGTTAAATTCGACCCTGATCAAATGTTAATGTTTTTCTTTTTCATTCTGTTCTCCTTCCTCTTCGATTCACCTTCCTCTTCTATTCTATTCACTTACACTCAGAAATGCTCGAAAATTCCCGTATCATGCACATCGGTGATAAAACCATTTATCCGGATAAAGACAGCTCCCCATGAGTCTCAGTTATAAACAATCTAGACTTGCTCACAAGTCGCGCTTTTAAGCGCGTAGCGCGAGTCGAGCTGAGCGAGCGGTAGCGAGCGAAAGCGGGTCGTGTGGGTCCTACCACACCAGAACAGAAAACCAAGCGAACGACTTTGAGAAAGTCTATAAACAATCCTTCGTAAAACATTATCGGCGAAAAAAATGTGACCACTCATTTATTTTAATGTGAAAAGAAACCGTAAACTAGCCTAGTTTGCATTAGAAATTCCATTGACTATTCTTTATTTCGTGCAGTGTCTTGTTTACTTATATCGATTTCTCTACTTGAACCACTACAAGCACGTCTTAAGTCCGTCCTATTTCTAAACGTAGAGAAAATTCTTTGCGCAACTTTTACATTAGTCATATCAATACATCGGAAAACATTTAAATAATTTTTTTAATGATAATTGTTTAAATAGTTCCTATTGATTTCAGACCTTCGCTTCAAAAACCACTAAATATAATGTAGAACATCATCAAAGCTCTTTTTGTATGTGAATATTTATAGAACAATAGGAAACAATTTAGCAATCGATAAACGATAACTCTGATCCTATAACTGAATCACGCTTCACCTTGTTGATATTCTTACGATACACTATTAAACGGATAGTCAACAATGAAATTGAAAATGAAGGAATACAGTTACGGCTAGAGCATATTTCTTGATTTAGTATCACATTTGCGAACTGGGAACGAGGAAAAGTGATCACTCTCATTTGAGAGAAGACGTCATTCGATCTGATTGCAACTGTATTAAAGTGTCAATGCGATTAAAGGCTAAACATAGTCCACGTACGTTATTAGCATCACGCTTTACAAGTCTAAACAAAGTATCACTTCCTAGAATGTCGAGAATTTACTCGCAATGGCTAATACCACGTCTGGCTATATCTGCCTCACTAACTAAATAGAGCCCACAAAGCACTTTGTGTCAGTTTGTTGACCATCACGTACATAGCTAGACCGTCAATCGGATGAAACAATCAGTCACAGATAATTGCCTAACAAAGTTCCACGTCGAAAAGCGAAAACATGAGCTCAATTTGGTGCTTGTTTTTCACACACAAAGTCCGCCGATTCAGTTCAAAGAGATCTTACACCTTTGAGCCAAAGCCTAAGAAAAGAAGATTTAGCTTCTGGAAGTCGAAGAAAGGTAAGCTTAAATATAATGTCAACACGAACGCTAACACCATTGTAGGAGGTAAATCTTTCCTAAAATGACCAGTTCCTCTCTGTGACATTTGAGGTATCGATGGTTAAATTTGAAGGCTTTTTCACAGAGGATTTTGTTGTGGTACAGTTTCGAAAAGGAACTGTAAGGCCGCTGATTCTCTCATCACGAACACCGAGATAAGACCACTGAAAGGGCGTTTGAAGCTGATTATTCACTCATATGCGATACAAATGTCTCAGAAAGTTATAGCGCCAGCTTTCTGTGATGATCACAAGCTTTTAGGCAAAATCTCCCCCTGCTTTTTCCTCGGAAATTAAATGCCTCCTTCACCTGAGTGCGATTATAGATCGTCCTTAATTAGCTTTACAAGAAATAATGAACTGGCACTTTATACGACGATAAGTTTTGCGGTCGTGTCCTTCTCTTGGGTAAAAAAACATGTTCTTCTTAGAAAAAAAAAAAATAAGAGAAAAAACATTTAGTCTCAGTGGTATGACAATTAAATGATCCACATCGCCAAAGATCTGCATACGTACAAAACTAAGTCTTATCCCTATTAAGATGAGAAGCGCGTGTGATGAAAGAAGCTTCCCTGTAAGTAACTCCCTTTGCACGAAGTTTTTTCTACAATGAGAGTTTTAGCGGGATAGCCTCTAATGAATCCACGTGCAGATATTTAAACCGACTGTTCAGTTTGTTTTGTCTTT